TTTGGGCGTTTTGCTTGGAATTTATTTTCACTGATTTTTGATGAGTTTAATGTGAAGTATAGGAAAAAAAGTATATTCGCTGGATTTTATTTTCACTGAATCATCCCTTCAGCGAAAATAGCGAAAATAAATTCCAAGCGAAAATAAAGTATTCTACAGTATGTCGAGTATAAGTAAGTAAGCAACATGATGTGAGGTATATGTCGAGTATATTTAAGTAAGCAACATGATGTGAGGTATATGTCGAGTATAATTAAGTAAGCAACATGATGTGAGGTATATGTCGAGTATAAGTAAGTAAGCAACATGATGTGAGGTATATGTCGAGTATAATTAAGTAAGCAACATGATGTGAGGTATATGTCGTGTATAAGTAAGTAAGCAACATGATGTGAGGTATATGTCGAGTATAATTAAGTAAGCAATATGATGTGAGGTATATGTCGAGTATAAGTAAGTAAGCAACATGATGTTAGGTATATGTCGAGTATATTTAAGTAAGCAACATGATGTGATTTATATGTCGAGTGTATTTAAGTATTTAAGCAATATGGTGTGAGTGATAGTTCGAGTGGGTACACTAATAACTATGTACACATGGTGTGTACCGGTGACTCATATCACTGCGTGCAGATCGTTATTTATAATGCAAAGTAAACAATTCTCTGCTGAATTGCTGCCACTAAATTACATAGATTTTCCTGGATTCAAACATCTCGTCAGGGCAACCATACATTTCGCGCTCATTGATAAAATGACCATGTCGTGCTAGAACGACCCGCAAATCGACAACGTTTTATTAAATATTAATTAAGTAACGTTTTATGAATCATAAATGCAAACGGTTTTAAATGTTAAAAGTGCATATTAATATGTGAGTGTTCTCGCCATAGCTTTGAATGCCAAAACAACGTAAGGTTCTAGTTCGAACCGTATAGAAGGTTTTACAACAAGGCGTAGGAAGGATCAACTTGACTTAGAAAACAAAGCGTCAAAATAAAATGAAAGTTTTTAAAATAAAAATCACTTTGCTTTTTTATTCCGCTGCAGAAAATTATCTCAGAAAACGTATGCTGCTCGTCGTACATGAGGTGGTTCGCTGTATTGAGTCTATCGTCGTGGTTTCACGAATGTTACACATACATAATTGTTTTTCCGACTACAACAAATATATCGCGGTATCGATGAAATGTCAATGAACATCGTCTGGTATGGTAATACTCTCAGGATCGATGGAGACCAATAAAAACATAGCTTCTGGCGAATCAAATAAATTACGGACTTCGATAATGACGAAATTCAATTGCGGTTATGACCTCGGGGAAGCAGTTAAAAGTGGTGGACGTTTGGCGGCAGGTACAAATGAATTTTTCGCTGCTATACTACTGATTACTTGACAAAATGAATGGTTTTATGTAAGGATATGGCTTCTTTATATAAATTCTACGCATTAAAGCTATTGAAGTGCTGTAGCAGTAAATTGGGCCAAGGTCGGGTTGTTTCAAACTATGTTAAGTATACATTGGACGATCGATCCATTTTCAGCACTTGATTTTTTACGTTTAGGGTCGGTTATTCTTGATTTCGACCATAGCCGAACTCCAATAAATGTTTGTATGAAGTAACACTGCAATCTCACTATGATAGGGAGTACCATACTGCAATTGCCCTGTGATAGGGAGTAACATACTGAAATCTCGCTGTGATAGGGAGTAACATACTGAAATCTCTCTGTGATAGGAAGTAACATACTGAAATCTCACTGTGATAGGGAGTAACATACTGCAATACCACTGTGATAGGGAATAACATACTGAAATCTCACTGTGATAGGGAGTAACATACTGAAATCTCACTGTGATAGGAAGTAACATACTGAAATCTTACTATGATAGGGAGTAACATACTGAAATCTCACTGTGATAGGACGTAACATACTGCAATCTTACTGTGATAGGAAGTAACATACTGAAATCTCACTGTGATAGGGAGTAACATACTGAAATCTCACTGTGATAGGGAATAACATACTGAAATCTCACTGTGATAGGGAATAACATACTGAAATCTCACTGTGATAGGAAGTAACATACTGCAATCTCACTGTGATAGGACGTAACATACTGAAATCTCACTGTGATAGGACGTAACATACTGCAATCTTACTGTGACAGGGAGTAACATACTGAAATCTCACTGTGATAGGGAGTAACATACTGAAATCTCACTGTGATAGGAAGTAACATACTGAAATCTCACTGTGATAGGGAATAACATACTGAAATCTCACTGTGATAGGACGTAACATACTGCAATCTTACTGTGATAGGGAGTAACATACTGAAATCTCACTGTGATAGGAAGTAACATACTGAAATCTCACTGTGATAGGGAATAACATACTGAAATCTCACTGTGATAGGACGTAACATACTGCAATCTTACTGTGATAGGGAGTAACATACTGAAATCTCACTGTGATAGGGAAAAACATACTGAAATCTCACTGTGATAGGGAATAACATACTGAAATTTCCCTGTGATAGGGAGTAACATACTGCAATACCACTGTGATAGGGAGTAACATACTGAAATCTCACTGTGATACGGAGTAACATACTGAAATCTCACTGTGATAGGGAGTAACATACTGAAATCTCACTGTGATAGGGAGTAACATACTGAAATCTCACTGTGATAGGGAATAACATACTGAAATCTCACTGTGATAGTGAGTAACATACTGAAATCTCACTGTGATAGGGAATAACATACTGAAATCTCACTGTGATAGGAAGTAACATACTGAAATCTCACTGTGATAGGGAGTAACATACTGAAATCTCACTGTGATAGGAAGTAACATACTGAAATCTCACTGTGATAGGGAGTAACATACTGAAATCTCAGTGTGATAGGGAGTAACATACTGAAATCTCACTGTGATAGGAAGTAACATACTGCAATCTTACTGTGACAGGGAGTAACATACTGAAATCTCACTGTGATAGGGAGTAACATACTGAAATCTCACTGTGATAGGGAGTAACACACTGAAATCTCACTGTGATATGAAGTAACACTGCAATCTCACTGTGATAGGACGTAACATACTGAAATCTTACTGTGATAGGGAGTAACATACTGAAATCTAACTGTGATAGGGAGTAACATACTGAAATCTCACTGTGATAGGAAGTAACATACTGAAATCTCACTGTGATAGGGAGTAACATACAGAAATCTCACTGTGATAGGAAGTAACATACTGAAATCTCACTGCGATAGGGAGTAACATACTGAAATCTTACTGTGATAGGAAGTAACATACTGAAATCTCACTGTGATAGGAAGTAACATACTGAAACCTCACTGTGATAGGGAGTAACATACTGAAATCTCACTGTGATAGGAAGTAACATACTGAAATCTCACTGTGATAGGGAGTAACATACTGAAATCTCACTATGATAGGAAGTAACATACTGAAATCTCACTGTGATAGGAAGTAAGATACTGAAATCTCACTGTGATAGGAAGTAAGATACTGAAATCTCAC